TGACTCTCATATCCATACATGCCTACTGGAATGGTGGTAGCTTTCACTATATGGACCTTTGTCGGCAAAGTGATGTTTTTGCTTTTTAATACTCTTGTCTAGGTTTGTCAGAGCTTTCCCTCCAGGGCACAAGTGTCTTCTAATTTCGTGGCTACAGTCACCATCTGCTGTGATTTTGGACAAGTAAACCCTCAACGTGACCAAGGAGGCCCTGCGTGGCGGGACCCCATCTTTCCATGGAGTTGCTCCGCAGCTGGTTTGTAGGACCTGTGATGAGACTGACCCCAGCTCTTCCAGAGGGCCCTGTTCCCTTGCTGTGTGCCTTCTCAGCCTAGGGAACGCCATGGCCCTCTTGCTTCTATTCGTACATGGCTCATTTACCCTTAAAGTTTCAGATTAAATGTCCCTTCCCCAGGGAAGCCTAACTTCCAGGGTTAGGACAGGCTTTCTTTTCTTATGGGGCTTCCTTGGTGGCTCAGATGGTAAAGAATTTGCCTGGAACGCAGGAGACCTGGATTCGATCCCTGGGTCAGGAAGATCTCCCCTGGAGGAGGAAATGCCAACTCACTCCCAGTGCTCTTGCCCGAGAATCCCATGGACAAAGGAGGCCGGTGGACTGCAGTCCATGGGGTTGCAAAGAGTTGGACACAACTGAGCAACTAACACGTTCGCTTTCTTCACTTCCTTTCTTGCTCCCAGATCACCTTAAAAATCCTGAAGTTGCCCAAAGAGATTGGCAGATTCACAGTCAAGTCTCCTAGACCACAGTGATTTAGCATAATTGGAACAGAAAGATTTTCTATTTGGGCATGTATCTCCTGATGTCCTTCTTACTTCCTCTTTTCCTTCAAGGGAGCTGGCTTTGCTCATTTACACCCACCTGACTCCCTTGCAACATTCTCTGTGTGTGCTAAGTCGCTTCAGTTGTGTCTGACTCTTCGCAACCCTGCGGACTGTAGCCCGCCAGGCTCCTTTGTCCATGGGACTGTCCCGGCAAGAATGCCGTGCCCTCTTCCATGGGATCTCTCTGACCCAGGGGTGGAACCCTCATCTCTCACATCTCTAGCATTGGCAGACAAGTTCTTTGCTACTAGTGCCGCCTGGGAAGCCCAGCATACTGTGTACTTGTAGTTAATTGATTATTTATGACTTATTTATCTTCTGCTTTCTCTGCTAGACGGTATGCTCAGCCCAATACCTAGCACACGGTAAGATATTTAATAATTCTTGACCTTCTGGGACAAGACAAAGCATAATAGCTCATCATCCGGCGGTTGTTGAAAGAACTGAGTGGTTGTAAACCCTGTCTTTGTATCCTGTGACAGACTTTGCCATTTTTGGCCTGGATTCCCATTTTTCTCTGCTGGTTTTGTCATTCCTGGATTAGAAAAATCTGTTAGCTTTCTATTATGTATTTGCTGTAGCCCCTCTCTGTCCATTTTATATTTATTTCTTTTAATTATACATTAAGTGTTTGAATCCATATACTTTTGGGAGAGGTCTTTAGGTATTTTTTCTGCTTTGCAAGAACGGAGCATTCATGTAGACCTGAGACCCCCCGTGTGTAAATATTGTTTTATCACTTAACCGATGTAAAGAAAAACACGCCTGCCATCTGAAGTTTTCCCTCACAATTTTAATTAACTCCCCTGAGCCCAGTGTGGGTTACTAAGAATAAGGGCCAGAATCCCCACGTCCCAGTCGAGGCACTTCTCAAAACAGCCTGGTTTTCTGGGCATCTTGCCTCGGTTCTTACTGCAGAAGGATGCTGTGCGTAGCAGAGAGAGAGAGGGGTGGGGTCTTGGTTGTGGGCTCCGTAGCGCCAGGGTGATGGCAGCCCTGGGCCGTTGTGGAAATGTTCCGGGGAGACCAGTCAAGAGTCCTGTTGCTGTTCCGGAGTGCATTTGGGGGTTGAGAGCTGATTTTTAATTTTTAGGATTTTTTTTTTTTGACGTGGCCCATTTTTAAAGTCTTTTTGAATTTGTTACATATATGTGTGTATGTATGTATGTGTGTGTGTGTGTGTGTGTGTGTGTGTGTATGTATGTATATATATATATGTGTGTGTGTGGGAGTGTCCGTGTGGCATCTGGGATCTTAGTTTCCCGACCAGAGATTGAACCCCCACCTCCTGTATTGGAAGGTGAAGTCTTAACCTCTGGACCACTAGAGACATCCACAAGTTATTTTTTTCCACAAAATTCATGGCCTGGAGAAAGTGGTTGAAGATGCAGACCTATCAATCGTATGTACGTGATAGTGAACTTGAAGCAGATAACTTCTCAGGCTTTATAGCTGTCACGTGGGGAGAAAGCCTAACACTCATGGGTGTGAGTTTTGGGAACACAGTGTATTTGCCTTGGGTATGGTGCTTTTGGTGTATTGCATGCTTTAAGTACTTTATAAAAATTGTAGTGGTTATTGAATTACATTTGATTCTTGCCACTTGCTTTACTTGTAAAAGATTATCCAATACTTGAAAATGAGGTGAAATACTGTTCCAGGAGTGATAACTTTAAGAAGTGTTGTATATTCAGTATTAAATGGGAATGGATATTTATTTTCCATTTCAACCATCTATTTTCATTTCCAGTTGTCTGTGTTTTGGAGTATTCTACCTTTTCATCCCTTTCCAAAAAGTTAATTTTTAATAGTTTTTATAAAACATGCAAAATTTGTTTCATTGGAGAAACCATCAAAGCTTAAGAGGAATTATTAATAGCTTCTCTACCTAGCACTTCTTCCCAGCATGCAGAGTTTTCTGGCAGATTGTCTAAATATCCAAATAAACTGAACTAAGAAAGATCAGCTTTTGGCTCTGAGGACCAACCCAAGGCTCTGAGAAAACACTGAGGAAACCCCCCAAACGGTTGACAGTGCTGGGATGGGATGAAAAATGACTCTGGTTTCATTCTGTCCATGCCTGGGTACCAGTAAATATTGCTAAGTCGCTTCAGTTGTGTCCAACTCATTGTGACCCCATGGACTGTAGCCCATCAGACTTTTCTGTCCGTGGAATTTCCCAGGCAAGAATACTAGAGTGGGTTGCCATTTCCTCCTCCAAGCGGTCTTCCCCACCGAGGGGTTGAACCTGTGTATGTCTGTTGCATTGGCAGATGGGTTCTTTACCCCTAGAGCCAGCTGGGAAGCCAACAAACATGTATATCTTTTATAAATAAAAATGTAATCCTCACTGCAATCCCATGTCCATTGGATGGCTACTTTCAAAGAGAAAGAGAGGAAGAAAATGAAAAGTGTTGGTGAAGATATGGAGAAATTGGAACCCTGTGCAATGTTAGTAGGAATGCACAACGTTAAAAAGAATAAAATTACCATTTGACCCTCCTTGTGAGACAAAAAGTTTTCTCCCTAATTATAGAACACATCTGTACTCTAAGCCATTCTCTCATTCTCTGTGGAGAGCAAGTGTCCTAAGATTAAACTTGGCTTTGGCAGTAAGTAGAGTTCATGAAGACCCCACAGATCAAGGCCTCAAGGCTGCCCCCTACCACTTCCAGATGACAGTCACGAGTCCAGGTTGTCATCTGTGCTTTTGGCTATAAATCAGGTGTTCCCATGACCCTGTCCTCGAGTTTGATAATTTGTTAGAATGGCTCACAGAACTCAGGAGAATAGTTTCCTCACTGTTGTTGATTTGTCTGTGTGTGTGCTCGGTCATGTCTGTCTATCTGTGACCCTGCAGACTTTCGCCTGCCAGGCTCCTCTGTCCATGGGATTTCCCAGGCAAGAACACTGGAGTGGATTACTATTTCCTCCTCCAGGGGATCTTCCCAGTTTACAATAAAGGATATTTTAATGAGAACAGATGAAAAAACCCATGAAGAGATAATACAGGGCAAAGTATGGAGGAAGGGACTTGGAGCTTCCGTTTCTGCTCTTGGGGTGCTCTCCCTTCCGTGTCTCCATGGGCTCACCACCCTACAAACTTTCTTGAACCCCAGGGATTTTTATGCAGGCTTCATTTTGCAGGAATGATTGATTAAATCACTGGCTGTTGGTGTTTGAAGTCAACCTCCAGTCCCTCCCCACTCCTGGGAGGTGTCTGGATGAGATGGAGCTGAAAATTCTAATCCTCTAATCACATGGTTGGTTCCCCGGGCAACCAGCCCACATCCTGAGGCTTTCCAGGAGCCTCAGCTCATTAGTATACAAAATGACACATCATTTCAAAGATTCCAAGTGTGTCCTTCCTGCCTGCCTCCCTTTCTCTGTTCCTCCCTTCCTTCTGCACCACGTGTCATGCGGGATCTTAGTTCCCCAACCTGGGATCGAACCAGTTCCCCTGGCTTCAGAACTTCAGGGTAGTCCTTCTAAGGGTTTTTGGAGCTGTGTGCTGGAAAATGGGGTCAGAAATTAAACATATATTTATTATATCACATCCTACAACTCCACTTCTGAGTATATACCCAAAAGAATTGAAAGCAGGATCTAGTAGCAGCATTATTTACAGTAACTAGGTGGAAACAAGCCATGCATTCATTGATGGATGCATGAATAGAAAAATGTGGTATATACATACGGTGGAATACTATTCAACCTTAAAAGGGAAGGGAATTCTGACACACGCTACAGCATGGATGAAAATGGAGGATACTTGACCAAGTGAGATAAGCAAGTCACAAAAAGACAAATGCTGTATGAGTCCGCTTGTAAGAGTCACCTAGAATAATCAGGTTCCTCGAGACAACAGATAGAAGGGTGGTTGTCCAGAGCTGGGAGGGAGGGAAGTGGGGACTTGTTGTTTAATGGGTACCGAATTTTAGTTTTACAGAATGAATAGTTCTGGAGTCTGGAGTCAATACTGCTGAACTGTGTCGTTAAAAATGGTGTAGATGTAAATTTTATGTTCTGTGTATTTTATTTTATCTCAATTGAAAATTTAAAAGAAACAATAACCACAATGAAACATTAGAAAGTAGCGCAGGAGGCTTGTTTTTAGCAGGCAAGGAATAACCTGATCTCTTCCTGGTGTCTTGCAGGCCTGGTGTTTCCTTGACCATGCAGGCGTTTTCCGAAGAAGAGAGGATGCAGTGGTTGGAAGTTCTGGGTGGAAAAGAAGCTGTAAGATATAACCAGTGGTTGAGTTTTATTTCAAGTCCGTTAGAGCTGACTCCCGTTCATTTTCATGTTATTTTTGCTTTGTAGTATATGAAAAAAAGTTCCCTGCTGAAGCTGGTGTCTGAATTCCTCCTGGAAGCATTTGGTAGTCTAGAAATTTGGTTTGAGGTAGCAGCGGCCGACTAGAGACTGGCATATCGTTTTTTTTTTTTTTTTTATTAGTTGGAGGCTAATTACTTTACATCATTGCAGTGGTTTTTGTCATACATTGAAATGAATTAGCCATGGATTTATTTAGATGACTTCCTCAAGCAAAGCGAACCTGAGCGGCAAAGTCAAGAAAAATAAAAATAATCGTTATTTTTTATTTTTCTTGACTTTGCCGCTCAGGTTCGCTTTGCTTGAGGAAGTCATCTAAATTCTCAATTTCTTCTTCCCTACCTGTGAAAGTACTTTGGGTGATGAACACAGTAAATGCTTGCAATTCATTTTGATCTCAGTGGAGATGGAACGGTAAATGTGAGGCTGTGCAGGCAATATTACAAGTGACTGCTGTACTTATTTGCTTGATTTAACAATTTCTGGTTTAGCCTAATGAGCCACAGTGTGCGGTGTTAGGTAGCCTTAGTGAATGGGCCTCTGTGTTCAGATTGGTTTGAGGAGTAAATTAAAGGCAGTGATAGCAATCCAGAGGCATGGGACTTCAGTCTGTTTGCCACTTTATTCAGGCACTGCCTTCCTCTCAGAGGACTGGTGGCATCTGGGAGTTGAGAACTGGGCAGGTCACATATTGAATGGGGGCCTTAGCAAGGATAATTATAGAAAACCCCATAGGACTGGTTTAAATCAACTCTACTTAAAGTATTGTGACTCATAACCAGCTGCCAATGCAGGTACCAGGTAGGCTTATGTGGCAAGCATTTGGCATTTCAGCAGGATTTAAAAAGAGGGATAGAGCACAGTAGAAGGGGGGTCATATATAGTGAAAAGAGAGGTGTCAGAAAAGAGCTTATGAGATGGGCAGAAGATAATGTCATCTGATGGCAGTGGGCGGGCCCTGAGAATATAAGAAATAGGGCAAAGAGGATGGGCAGCAACACATGTAGCAGTCTTGGCGTGGTGTTTGAAACATGGAAGCCCAAATTACATATTTTAGAAATAGATCCTGTATAAGAAAATGTATCATCCTTGGAGGAAAAGAGCAGTGATCAGATATGTGTATCATTTTTTTATACTTGATCTACATTTAGCTTCCGTGATTTTAGTTCTATTTATTCTTAATTTGTCCTTGAAATTTTTAGCTAGGAGTCAAGAGTACTTTCAGCATTGGTAGCTGCTGAGATCCAAAACAGTTTGTCCTAATCCTTTCTAGTAAAGGCACTGACCTAGACTTGTCCCCTCATAGAGTGAAGAAATGCTTTGGAAAGTGAGTTTGCCTATTTGCATAGCAAAATGGTCATATGGCTAAGTCATGAGGAAATAAGTCTATTGCCAAAGGCAGTGTAACCTTGACACATACATCCTCTCCTTTAAAGTAAAAAGCCAGGTAATTAATTTGAGATATACAGATAAAGGCAAGTCTGCATAAAGAAAATAAACATTCAGCTGTGTATTTAGGTAAGGGCACTGAAGGCATTTCATAATTTTTTTCAGGTGACGTATGTGCCTTGAAGATAATGGGGCAGCACTAGAATTCTCAGAGGCAGCCTGGGATCATTACCTCGATATTTCAGATGTGGTTATTGAGATTATGGCAGGAATCATGTCTTTAAGTAAACAGCAGATTTTAGCAATGGTGAATAAATGAGCTTCATCTTCCTAATTAGAATGCAGCAATTTGTTTGAGTATTTCAAATTTACATGAACTTTCAGTCCTTGCCGTTCATATTATTTTTGCTACTTTGGCAATGCCTTGGTGAGAGGCCAAGGAGACTCAGAGCTCTCCTTTTTGTTACCTGTCTTTGTCTTTGGGCCCATGATAGTGATTAACCAATGTCATTGTATTTTTTGGACAGTCCCTAGGTGTGCCTACTACAATAGAATCGTTTTTATGGATTTGCTGAAAATATTGTTTCCCCTTTTTCTCTTTTACTAGCTGTTCCCTAGTTTTAATAGAGCCATCATCCCAAGACCAGAAGGAAGTAAGTGCTAATGTATAAAAATGACTGTTGTCTCCCTCTCTCATGAGTTACTGTTTTTATTACTGATGTCAAACTGTTGCTGGGTGCTTGCTGTCTGTACTCTGTGTTAGTCCACTGAATGGTAGATGTCTTATCCGCTGAGGCCCTCTTCAGACTTTTCTTGACTGCTGAAACTCGCCTTGATCTTTCCCATCTCTGAGTCTTTTCCTTTCTAGTCTTCCTCTACGAAAACCAAAATACTCTATCATTGACTTCGGTGTTTGTTTCTATAGCCATAAATGAATACACAAGACTTTCAGGTATGCATCTGTAAGCTTCCTAAGTTGTAAACCCGTGGGTAGGAACTCTGCATCAGGTCCTCTGCTCCCAACCCCTCTCTCCTCCACACTTGGCATCCTTTATCCTTCCAGTCTGCCGGGCGTGGGCTGTACAAATAGTTTAGCTTTACACCTTAGAAAACAAACAACAGCCAAATGCATTCAGATATTCTAGGACAACGATCTTCCCTTGCATGGTATGTACTAGAGGAAAAGGAAATCCTCTCTGGCTCTGACTCTTGATTTTAACTGAGAGAAGATGAAGATGTGATCAAATTTGCTGGATTCCTTATGAATCTACTTTTCATTTCTTTGGAAGAAGGAAGCTACATTTGTCAAATGTCCCTGGTTTGGAGACATGGTTAAATAAGCTATGATTTCAAAATGCTTATGGTGTGTGTATCAGTTATCCTGGCACTGGAAATGGACCAGGTGCCTCGCAAGGTTGTCAGTCGTGGAAGCACCTGCTGAAGACTTCCCTCCTTCTTGTCTTTCCCTTCTGTTGTCCTTTCTTTTTCTTTCCTTTCTCCTCCTCCTTTCCCTTACTCCCTCTTGCTCTCCTCTCTTCCTTTCTTTTCTTGTTTTTACTTGAGAAATGAAAACATGTTTTGGAAAAGTAGTTTTGCTAAGCCAAAAGAAACACTTACATTTTATATAAATGTTGTGAATAGTAGATCCTTAAAAAAAAGTAAACCACTGCCTTCTTTTCCTCATTAAAATGCTCTTCAAGTTTAGCTTTAAACCTGCAAAGTTCATAAATTATTCCATGCTATCCCTTCTGAGAACCAAGGGTTAGTATTCCTGCTTCTGAGTTCTAAATACGGAATAAAGCATTCACTTTCCCTGAGTGCATTTTTGAAACAAGAATTGTCTTTTATTAGGGTCCTCAAATACGTCAGCCTAATCAATGGCAAAGTATTCATGTTAGAAAAAATATAAAATTGTGTTTTCAAAATAATCTTTTTTTGTGACATGAATCTTCTTTTAAATTCATTATGAAAATAATAAAATATTAAACATTTAGAGTATGGTATAAAATGTGAAAAAAGTTTCCAGCTCATCGTTCAAATACTATTTTTAAGAGTGTCTAAGGATTTTTTCCTCCTGGGTTAAAAAAGAAAAGTTTTGTGTTACTTCCCCAGCTTGTTAAGTAATTTAAGAACTTTCACTCATGTCTATAATTAAAAAACAAACCTAAGTTGTTGGAATTTGGGCAAAAACATTAACTATTTCTAGATAGCTTCCTCTAAAGATGAATTGTAATCACTTTCTTTTTCACTACTCAAACTATTATTTTTGTTAACAGCTAGTTTAAATGATAAATTTATTTATATATGTTGGTAATGTTAGTCATATATTGGTAATGTTAGTCATGTCCAACTCTTTGCGACCTCGTGGACTGTAGCCCGCCAGGCTTCACTGTCCATGGGGATTCTCCAGGCAAGAACACTGGAGTGGGTTGCCATGCCTTCCTCCAGGGGATCTTCCCGACCCAGGGATCACACCCAGGTCTCCTTTCTGCAGGCGGATTCTTTACCTTCTGAGCCACCAGGGAAGTATCTGTTGTTAATGAAGGTCCTGATACTACATATGCTCCTCTTCTGTGAAGTTCTCATTTACATTATTTAAACAGGGAGTGCATGGCATTTAGTTTTCTTTTTTTGAAGAGGGAAATAAAAAGTATTTTGGACCTAAATAATTTTGTCTTATTTTTGTCAGCTAGAAAAATGTGAGTATTTGCACCTTTAATATTTTACAACTGTATTTCTTTTAGGTGCACAATTGGATAAGATGGGATTCACAATTCTTAGAAAATGCATCCGTGCAGTTGAAACACGAGGTAACTTGATTGAATTGTTTTATTCATGAGAGGCTATAGGTATGTAAAATCTTAGGGTCGTTTCAAATGCTCTTTGCTTGGTTAAGTAGAATGAAATATTTTAATGCAAAATACACCTTCTAGGCATCAGAGATTCAGTTATTCATTTACTGTGAGCGGGGTTAGGGGAGGAGGGTGGTGGGGGTTCCTTTTTATTTACACGTTTCGTCCTTGTGTTGAAACCTGAAGTCAGTAGAAGAATCAGCAGTGCTGGACTTGGACAATTAGGCTTAATTGCTTCTTGTTTACACGCTAGTAAGGTATTTCCATCTTCACTTGTCTTGTTAGCTTCCAGTTTAAAAATCAGCATCACTGAGATATCTTTTATGTATGGTAAAATTCATTGATTTTAGCTGTAAATTGATAACTTTTGATGAATGTGTTATAGTTGTGTAGCTATCACCACTGTCATAGACTTCTATCTCCCCCCAAAATTCCTTTGTGCCCCTTCTCAGCCTGCATTCCATCCTTGGCCCTTGGCAACTACTGAACTGCTTGTTATCACTTTAGTTCTTTTTATTTTTTTTGAAAAGCTTTTTATATGAATGGAATTATGCAGCCTATACTGTTTTGAGTCTGACCTCTTGTTTAGCATGGCGCTGCTGAGATTCGTCTTACTGGGTGTGCTCTTGTGTGCTAGCATACTTAGTTGCTTCAGTCGTGTCCCACGCTTTGCCACCCCATGGACTGCAGCCAGTCAGGCTCCTCCGTCCATAGGATTCTCCAGGCAAGAATACTGGGGTGGGTTGCCATCTCCTTCTCCAGGGGGTCTTCCCGACCCAGGGATTGAGCCCACATCTCTTACATCTCCTGCACTGGCCAGCAGGTTCTTTCCCACGAGCAACACCTAGCTGTACTCTTAGTGCTTTGTGTTATTGCCAGGCAGTATTTCATTTTATGGATATACTGCATTTTGTTTATTCATCCACCTGTTGGTAATATTTGAATTCTTCCCACTTTAAACTTCAGGAAGGATAATCCCTCCCCGTTTTGGTCCCCTGACTTAAAAGTGCAAGGGTCTTTTGTTTCTAGTTTAAGGAAAAACAGGGCCTTGGCGCTTTGCAGCCATTGTGGCAGACTTTGGAGAAACTTAATACAATAAATTTGCAAAACAGGCTGGTTCTGGGGGCTGGATTTCTCTTTGTTTAGAGTCTAGTGAAGTATGGATAAATTGAATATTTAATTCCCTCTCATATATTGTTTATCCCAGTCCTACTCTGAATGACTTGGTGGAATGAAGCATTGCACTCACGTTTTCTGTCAAAACAAGGTCTTTGTTATAAAGCCAGGATTGCCACCTGTGAAATGAGAGTGTTGGCTAACAGATGAATACGAGCTGTTTTATGATTTGGGGATTTGCCCATCGATAATAAAAACCCAAGCCACAGAAAGCTTTTCTTCCATTCTCCCTTAACAGTGGCAATTCAGGCGGTGACACATTTTCATTCATTTCAACCTGCACTGAGGTTGAGCTGACAAATTTCTTCTTTTTCCTAATGCTTCAAAAATTTCCAAAATGGGGATATTGTGATTTTCCGTATCTCTCACTTCATCATTCATGTTTCTCTTTTTCCTGAGCTTCTTAAGAGCCTTTATGGTATCACTTGCATGGTTATTTTTTTCTTTTAGTAAATACAATTCTTTCCACAAAGGATATAATTTGTATCTACTTGTCTCTGCCTGGGCAGATAAAAATCTATCTAGAATGCTTTCTGATTAATCTGTAGTTTTATGGAGTGTTACATTCATTGCCTTCCCAGGTGGCGCTAGTGGTAAAGAAGGTGACTGCCAATGCGGGAGATGTAGAAGTCATGGGATTGATCCCTGGGTGGGGAAGATTCCTTGGAGGAGGGCATGTCAGTCCACTCCAGTATTCTTGCCTGGAGAAGCCCATGGACAGAAGAGCCTGGCGCGCTACAGTCCATAGCGTTGCCCAGAGTCAGACACAACTGAAGCAGCTTAGCATGCATGCACGTGTTCATTGAATGGAATATATATAGTAGAATATGCATGTATTGAATGTATTTTATTATAACCATGTACATTTTTTATAGAAGAATGAGTCAATAACTTTTAAGTTAGATTTCTCCCATTTAAGATAAAAAACAAAAATGCATACATTTTACTTTTCAAATCTTTTGTCCCTCAAGGTCTTTCATTACTAAAGCCTTTTGTTTTTAATGGAGTAATAGGCTAAAAATAGAGTTAAAAGGATAAACTGTCAGATCATGTTACTCAGTATGATGAGGAACCTTGTGGAATCTCGGAGGTTTTTATCCTAAATTTGGAAGTTCCCTCAGGGAATATTGCTCTGAATGATTTCCCCTAAATCAGCTATCATGGCTATTGATTTTTTTTTTTGCTACCAATGTTGTTGCATTCCTTTTTTTCATCAGTCAGGTTAAAGCTAGTTTATGTTCCTATAACAGGAAGCTGGACATTCTCTGCGACTTAAGACAACAAGACTTAGTTCTCATTCAGACAGCTGGTAGGAGGGCTTCGCCCATCACTGCTACCTGGCTACCAGGTTCCTGCTTGCCTTGCCTGAAGGACTTTGGACCATCAAGTGAATGCTCTGGCTTTGATGTGAGTTTCGTTTGCTCACAGCTAATTGGTCAGAAATGATCGCATGGCCTCAGTCAACCCCAAAGAGTCTACATAGCACACCCCTACCAGGAGCCTGGAAAGCAGGCAGAGAGCCAGGAGTATCTGGTGGTAGCATTAATGACCACTGTGCGTTCTTTGTGGATGTACATGCCTGTGGTCCAGAGGGATTTAATGAGATCTGTTTGAAGAATTATTTGTATTCACATTTTTTCAGCATTTTAAACAAGACTATTATTTCCTCTGAAAACTGCCATATCGTATGCTTGGGTTAAAGCAGTTAGTGTACCTTTTACCTAACATATCTTTTAAAAATGACACCTGGCATTTTTATCAACTTTTGAAAGTCACTCGGTCGTGTCTGACCCTTTGCGACCCCGTGGACTGTATTCCTCCAGGCTCCTCTGTCCATGGGATTCTCCAGGCAAGAGTACGGGAGTGGGTAGCCATCCCTTCTCCTGGGGGTCCTCCTGACCCAGGGATTGAACTCAGGTCTACTGCATTACAGGACGATTCTTTACCAGCTGAGCCATAGGGAAGTGGCATCAACTTAGTGTTATTTAAGTATGTACAAAGCATCAGACAAATGTCTAAAACTTACTGTAGTCCTCAGTCCCCTAAGAAAAGGTAACCTTTTTACTCATGTGTCTGTAACACATAGTGATGTAGATAACATATGTACTGTGTGACTCATATGTAGTATAACATATATTGTCCTAGATGGGACTGTTAGCATTTACTGTCTTTTGGCATCCTAACAAACCCCATTTCACTGTAGTATCAGCATCAGTTAACAGATCCTACTGTTCGTTTTTGCAGAGCTGTTCATGAAGCTAAGGCAAATGAGAGAGTCAGATCAACGGCTGTTTCATCCATTTACCAAGTATTTGTTAATGATCTTGTACCGGCTCTTAATGGATCCAGGTCATCTGATTGCTACTGGGAGCATATTGTTTATGTTTTCCAAGTTGAAGGACTTCCTGAAGCATCTGTTCTCAAACATTGCTGTGCCATGGAATCACCTGAGATCTTTAAATAACGCTGCTGCCTAGCTCTCACCCCCAGTCAGTCTGATTTCATTGCTGTTGGGTGTGAACTAGGAAGCTGGTGTTTTCAATGTTCCCCAGGTGATGCTAATATGTAGTAAAATTTAGGAGTCTTAATGGAAGAGTTTCTTATGTATGGGAGCGACGGAATGCACAGTTGTTATCTTTATAGTGTCCTGCTGCATGGGGGACTTTCAACTTCTTTTTTAAAATAACCCAACCTAAACCCAGACAAACAACAGAAAACTTCCAAAGAAAATAGCTCCATGTTTGTTTCCTTCCCTCAGTAACAAGTGATTTGTCAGAGTTAAACTGTAGTTCTCATCTGAAGCCAGTATTTATGGAGCATTCACGGGGTGAATATATCCTTGCTCTAGGCTTTTGGGATTCATATTAAAGGTTGGTTACATGTAATGCTCAATCCATGAATGATAGGCAAAACATAGATATTTGGAAGTAATTTAAGTATTTCAGCTACTAAAATAAAATTATTACAAGATTGTGTGGATGAAGAGAATTTGAATATACAGATAGATTGCTGAGCGTGTGTCTGTGTGTGTGTGTTCAAGTTGCTACATCGACTCTTGTGACCCCACGGACTGCAGCACACCAGGCTTTCCTGTCCTTCATTATCTCCTGGAGTTTGCTCAAATTGATGTCCAACCAATTTTGATGTTATAAACCATCTCATCCTCTGCCTCCCTCTTTTGCCTTCAGTTTTTCCTAGCATCAGGGTCTTTTCCAGTGATTCAGCTCTTTGCATCAGGTGGCCAAAATATTGGAACTTTAGCATCCGTCCTTCCAGTGAATATTCAGGATTGATTTCCTTTAGGATTGACTGGTTTGATCTCCTTGCAGTCCAAGGGACCCTCAAGAGCTTTTTCCAGCACCACAATTTGAAAGCATCAATTCTTTGGTGCTTAGCTTTCTTTACAGTCTAACTCTCACATCCATACATGACTACTGGAAAAGCCATAGCTTTTACTATATGGACCTTTGCTGGCAAAGTGATGTCTCTGCTGTCAAGGTTTGTCACAGTCTTCCTTCCAAGGAGCAAGTGTCTTTCAATTTCATGGCTGCAGTCACTGTCCACAGTGATTTTGGAACCCAGGAATGTAAAATCTGTCACTGCTTCTACTTTTTTCCCTTCTGTTTACCGTGAAGTGATGGGACCAGATGTCATGATCTTAATTTTTTGATTTTTGAGTTTTCATCTTAATTGAAGTGTGTTTTGGAACAGCCTTCTTTGGATTTAAAGGAGTAGAAAAGTATATTTTAGCATTTAGAGAGACCTCACCAAAGACGTGGAGA